CGTCCTGTCCCTGCGGGGCGGCGGGGTCCTGCCAGGCCACCTCTCGAGGATGGATGGGTGCTTTGATGTTTTGGCTTTCTTTTTTAAAATGTCTTCTTTCTGGGCTGAATGCCCCATAATGCCAACGCTGTAGTCGATGCGTCTTTCTTGCCTTTTATCACCGCCGCGTTTGCCGTGCTGTCAAGTAATAAGGATGAGGATGGATAGGCAAAAGGTTGGGGTGTTTGACTGCAGCGTTCCTGTCCTTTTCTTCCAGCTCCGTGTTTAGGGTTTATGTACCTGTTACCTCTTTCTACTGTGCTGGAAAGCTGTGCCGTTTGATTCTGTAAAACCAGAGTGCTTTCTGAGCCTGCCAGCCTCTGCCGCCGCTCTGCCACTGCTCACCTGCTCTGTCCTTTTGCTCACAGATCATGTTGAACTCTCTGCACAAGTATGAGCCAAGGATTCATATAGTGCGAGTGGGTGGCCCGCAGCGGATGATCACCAGCCATTCCTTCCCAGAGACCCAGTTTATAGCCGTGACTGCCTACCAGAACGAGGAGGTATGCACAGCAGGGAAGAAAGGATGCGAGTACCGGGAGGTTTCAAGTGGCAAAGTGCATGTTACAGAGCAAAACAATGGATCTCGTTTCACATTTTTGAGCTTTTTTCTGTAGCTTGTTTGAAGCGAAATACAAAATCTGAAATTAACGCATGTAAAAGCCCTGTGAATGTCTAATAGTGCCAAGTTCTGATCATCGGCTCAATATGCACTGCAAAGTCACTGCAGGAGAGCAATTCTTAAAAAGATTCTGTGGGACAAACGAGGGTGGTAAGAAATACAGTTGTGCTTTTCAGCTACACAGTGAGATAACTCCATTTTCAAAGCTGGCCTTCCGCCTTTAGCCAAAATGCACGTCTGTGTTTAGTGAATCTGTAAATTACCAGTCTTTCTGAGATTTGTTTAATGCCCATTCTGCTCTGGCTTGAAATGTGAAGCTTTTTATAACTTTTTAGTCCCCTAGCTGTTTCCTTAGCTGATCAATAAACCTGGGAAATGCAGTCTCTTAGAATTTGGCAGAGGGACTAATTCCCAGCCCTCTTCAAACCTTAGGAGCTGTTCATAGGTTGGTGTTACGGGCCTAATCTTATTTCTTCTAAAATTTGAGATTTCACTAATTTAAATGGATAGTCCTAATTCAAATATCTGTATGCTAATGAATGGTGATACTTGCAAATAAAGATTTTGTTTTGTTTTGTTTTTAGATCACAGCTTTAAAAATTAAATACAATCCATTTGCAAAGGCATTTCTTGATGCAAAAGAAAGGTGAGAGCTCTTAACCCAATTCTAAAGTGTGGATTTCTTACATAGATATGTAAAAGCCTATTCTTAACTAATCCAACACGGTTTCTTTTATAGAAGTGATCACAAAGACATGATGGAGGAAGTGGGAGATAATCAGCAGTCTGGGTACTCGCAGTGTACGTTTCCTTTCATTCTGCCTCATGAACATAACTGTGATTTCTTCCATCTCATCTGTTAAGTTAAGCAAAATATTTGAGAGCAGTGTTTGCTGGCTGGCTTGGTAGTTCTGAGGGAGAGTAATATTTCCCATCCTCATGATTGTGGGTCATGCAGGTTTATGATTGGGTAACCATTATGGTCTATGTGTGTGTGTGTTTAAGACTTCTGTGTTGCATTCAAAATCCTTGAATAGAATCTTGCAGTTACCTTCACGTCTAAAAAACCAGTCACCTTTGTGTACAATGACAGCAACAGTCATGATTCTATGATTCTATGATTCTATATGGATATGAAAGCAAAATTTTATTTCAAAATACAGCAGAAAATTATTGAAATAGTATTTATGTTTTAGGTACTTTAAGGGGCATTTACTTAAAATTCTTTTTCAGATGAATAAAAATTTAATGCTTTAAAGTTTTCTATTTTAACAGATTAGTGTCAAAAAACGTCTGCAGCCTATAAAGGAAGTAGAGTTGCAATAACAATTATTTTGTTTCAGTGAAAATACTTAATTTTTAAGATTTCTTCATAGCAATCTGAGAAACCTCACAACTTAGCTATCGATTGAGACCCCCAAAGACCAATTTAAAACTGAAGATTAGACTAACAATCACCAAGCACACACTACCTATGTAAGGGAGAGTTTAATCATGTCAGTGTGTCCTTAGTGTGATTGTAGTTAAATGGTAATTTGAAAAATAGTGTTAGCTTGATTTGTGGCTTTTCCTAAGCCGTAATCTAATTTTTCTTCATAAAATCATTTAAGAAAGTTGTAAAGATCCAGATTTTTCAGCCACGTTGAAACTCTGTTTCCTTTCCAAAGTGTGTGTTTCCTCGCTGACCAATTACTTACCTTGTTGCTGCGATTCTTTCCCTGTGTGGCTGCATTACGTACCCATCTTACAAACCTCTTGCTTCTCCACAGTAGGTAGTTGGCTTATTCCCGGGACTGGGACTCTGTGCCCACCTGCCAATCCTCACCCTCAGTTCGGAGCCCCCCTGTCACTCTCCCCTGCTCACAGCTGCGAAAGGTACTCATCGCTGAGGAACCACCGTCCTGCCCCCTACCCCAACCCCTACACCCACAGAAACAACTCACCAAGTAAGTCTGATGTTGCAGCTCCGTCAAACGATGGGAAATGAGCCCAGGGATGCGAGCTTTGAGCAGCGGGCATCTCGAGTGATGCCACAGAAACTGAGGTTGCTCTCTAGCTCCGCTTGCACAGAGGGCTTGGGGCCAACACTGAAAAGAATATTGAGATGATGAGTTCATTTCCCCAGTCTCTTTATAATGGAAAACCTGAGGGTGTGTAGAATTGATTAGATTATATTGTGCTGGCTTTGTCTCATGCTCTTGACTTATAACCAGTGAGCTTAAACTTAGACTTTTTTTTTTTCTAAGTTAAGTTTGAAAATGAGGATTTAATCATTAGTTATAGGTAATGCAATGAAATGAAGAAGTATATGTCTGGTTCTGTTAGTGTCACTCGTTATTTTATATATATATATAGTGTCACATGTAATAGTTGAGGGCCTGGTTCTGTCAGTTTTCCTTGCCTGTTGATGCTAGCATCAGTGCATTAAGTTGATTCTCAATGCATGTGTCCCAACTGGATACACAGGAACAATATGGAGCTGAGCAAACTGCAGAGCTATTGAAAAGTTGTGCCCAGTAATATCCAAATAGCTTAAGGCTTCGTACTGTAAGCCAAAGTCACTTAAGAGAGAGAAGTGCATTTTTAGCAGTGATATATATATTTCTTTTTTTAATTTTTAAAAATTTCTTCTGGCAAAGACCTGTTAATTTTTGCTGTTCAGCTTGTATGCATGTTGAAGGTTCCCATTAAAACCAATATTTAATATTTTGAATTGTGAAGTAATACACAGGATTCTTGTATATAGCTTTGTAGTTAATTTTGAAGTGGAAAACTAGCTTTCTGTGGAGTTCTCTTGCATCTTGGAAATTTTATGACTTGAAATAGAATAAAATTTCAAGTTTTATGACTTGAAACAGAATAAAAGAAGAAAACACCTCCAGTGTCTTGTTCCCTGGTCCTTAGCAAGGAATCTTTTCTCCTTCCCTTTGCCAGCTGCCACAGCAACTTCACAGTGTAGAGTTCCCTTTATGGCTTCCTAGTGCCTCTGCCATGCTGATGGGTCAGTTTTGGTCACGAGCAGAGTAGTTTAAGCCACAGTCCAATCCTGACAGTGTGCAAAGGCAGACTTCAGAGCCTATGGTGGCATGCTTGGCTCAAACCCGAGTGAGCAGATCCAGTGAAATGCTTGTTATCCAGGGCTGCCAAGGTGTGACTGCCAATGTAGATGATGGAGGTAAAGAAGGTGCCCTGCAAGAGTGACTGAGATGGTGTAAGTAAGAAGCCCACCTCTTCCCACTGACCAAATAAGGAAGTGTGGGTTGAGTTAGCAGGTGATTTGAAGACAGCCTTTTGGTTATAGATCCTTCACAGGAATAAGGTTTTGCAGTTGTGAGTTGAGCAAAACTACCCATCAGCAGGGGCAACGCCAGGGAAAGGGTAAGCTTGGCATAACGGGGAGCTGACATCACTTTTCTTTCTGTAATTTTATTTTATGGTTGGTTTTTTTCCCCAAAGGCAGTAATGGGGGAGGGTAATTCATATATTGCATTTGAAGACAAGAGCATTATTTGTTCTGATTCTAGTGTGTTGAAGTGCTTGCTTGTTTTCTCAGCAGCCTATGCCGATAACTCCTCTGCCTGCCTTTCCATGCTGCAGTCCCATGACAACTGGTCTTCTCTGGGAGTTCCCACACACACGACGATGCTGCCCATGAGTCACAGCACGGGCACAGCCACCAGCTCCAGGTAGGAGTCCACCCCTCAGCAGCCCTCAAATCAGTGCATCGATGCTTTCTAGGAAGAGAAGGCTGAAAAGGGAGGTAAAGAGTCACCAGCAAATTAGAAATCCTTATGGCCACATGTGAATCTTTAGCAATCTGGGAGGGCACTGAAAAGGACTATCCAAAAGGAAAACAGATTGAAGAAACAGATAAATATTTTAGATATTTTTTGTTTTGGTTTTGGAAATGTAGATACTTGTGACAGCAAAATTTGATAGATTAAGGATTGCAAATAGTTGAGTAAAACACCCATTGAATTAGAGTATGTTCTTTTCATTTCCATTTCTTTTAAGCAAAATGGTGTTTAAGAAGTTTATTTTTGATCTTTTTCATTTTAGCCAGTCACTGCTTTCCCCAGTGATCTCCACAAATACTTGTTTTGCTACAAATGAAAGAGCAGTGAACTGTAGTGTGGAGAAAGAGCGAGCAGTTGGGGCAGGAATTTTTTAAGCATTGCCACACAAACCAGCATAGCATGGGATTAATATGTGGTGAAAGCTTTTGCTGTTTTGTGATCATATAAATGAATCTTTTCTCCCTGTTTTACTTTTAAACTTTGCTGTACAAATTAAACTTTTGGATCCTTTAGCAGAGATTTAGCTTACACTCGTGTCCTTGGAGCTAAACTTGAAAATTCAAAGCCATACAGATAAGGCTGTAAAATCTTCACTATTAAACACAAGAGGGCTGAAGTTTGGGCATCTTTCTCATCAGTTCAGACCTACAACTCTATTTGTGGAAAGCATTTTTATTGGAACCATGCACATGGACATTTAGCTGTCAAGCAGATTATGTACTACTACCCAGTATAAGATAAATGTATTACTGAACATAATTTTAGTCCTGAATATATGCTAATCAGGGAAACAGGTCCTCCCAGCGCTTCTTTCATGTTTGACCCCCAGGATACATATTTGGAAAGTTGCAAAGTCCACTGAGTTTCAGTTGCTGCACTGAGTTGTCCAGTAGATAAAACCCGTAGAGCTGGAACAATGGGCCCTCAGGGAACGCGTTTCTGCCACCTCTTCTGTCTAAATCCCTAACAGTAAAATAAGAACATCTTGTTAAAGAATAAGAACATTTCTTGTTAAAATGCTTGGGATCAATAGGTACAAAGTGCTGTATAGTATACTGCAGGACTGAACTTTTTCTCACAGTGTTTCTTTTAATTGACTACCTTGTTCCTTTTTATTCATATGTGTGTTTATACACATATGTGTGTAAATACATCCGCAGGGGAGAGAGAATGTGGAGACTGTAGTGTCCTGAAAAGGCTTTTTTTTCCTTTCAAGCAGCCCTTTCTGTAGTATCTGTGCAATCTGCAACCATCAATCTGGCTCTTCCCCTTCTAACATGAGATGATGAACAAGGAGGGCTGAATTGCTGTCTGGAGGCATCCATCCCTTTCTGAGTACAGAGGCACCCAAGATGGGTCAGGTCTCTGACAGACTCGTGGCAATGGATTCAAACCTGCCTGGGTCCACCAGCTGCTGTGCCCAGCCACCTCCACCACGTGCCTTTTCCCTAACGCCAGGTTATGGCGTGGCTCAGGAATCAGCCCTCAAACCCCTGCATTTTTCAGCCAGCCTGTTAATTGTTCAGCTTTGCTTAAAGTTTGCTCTTATACCTATTGCTGGAACCTGCTATTGGAGAAGAGGGAGGTTAGATTTATTGATGGGGTGCCATGAACACAAATCCTTCGTGGGGGTCCTTCCTACCTCAGGGTGGCTGGGAAATTCCTGAAGAAATTCACCATCTCCAGCAAAAGAGACATCTCCAGCTCGGGAGCTGTGACCTGAGCAACTGCCAGCAGGCACTCTGGTCACTAATAATTCATGCTCTTTATCACTTTCCCTCTTTCAGTCAGTATCCCAACTTGTGGTCTGTGAGCAACAGCACCATCACGCCGGTGTCGCAGTCGAGCGGGGTGCCCAACGGCCTGAGCTCCCAGTTTTTCCGCGGCTCCCCGGCGCACTACGCGGCCCTCCCGGCCCCGGCCGCGGCCTC